ATGTGACACTGAAGACTGGAATAATGGCTGCTGAAAATTCAGCTTTGCATCACAGATATAAATTACATTTTACAATATATTACAATAGAAAATAGTTATTTTAAATTGTAAAAATATTTCACAATTTTCCTGTTTTATTACAAACTTTACAAACTTTTGACTGATAGTGAATAAGTTTAAATTTGGGTCACAAAAATGGTCATTTGGACTTATATAAAGCTCTCTCTCTCTCTCTCTCTCTCTCTCTGCGTGGGTTGAAATAAAAAGATTATTGTAATGCTAAACAAAGCATTGCAATGGCCGGTTGAAACGCCACAGGATCAGATGATCTCGGCGTGTTGGTTCTGATGAGGTTCTTCAATGCAGCACTCGCCGATTTGTATCAAATCAACTTTAGTGTGCAAGTTTCTTGTGTTTTTGTATGTTTTTTCAGCATTAATATTGAGAATTCGCCAGCTGAAATGACTAAAGGTACATTTCCAGAAGGTTAAAGGTTTTTACGAGTCCAAACTTGAGCTCAAATGAAGAGGAAGAGACTCACCTCCAGACATGGATCAGTGGTGATGATGATGATGAGGAAGGGGAGGGAGAGATGACCAGCACATGTCTTCCCTCTCAGTGCAGCTGGAGTCCGTCAGGGTACGAGAACTGATGTGAGTCCGGAGAGAGGGTCTGCCATGCTCAAAGTTTCTCTGTGAAACGCTTGTACAGTCAGTCGGTCCTCCTGTGATCCTTACACATCCAGCGTGAGAGATTCCAATGAGATCTGCCCCAGAACACACACGCAAACTCGCACGCGTCTTTACCCGACCGGCACTCCCCCACAACTCTCGCTCTCTCACACACACACACGCACGCACACGCATGCACACGCATGCATGCACACACACTCACACACTCACGCGCACACTGCCGACGGGATGCAGCGGGGTCCGGAGCTCAGCGATGGCATGTGTGCACATGAGACATCCATCCTGAACCATGGCTTGTGTGCGCATGAGACATCCATCCTGAACCAGCCGCTCCAAGAACTGAGAGACCCGAGAGCCAGCGACACACACACAGAGAGAGAGAGAGAGAGGGAGGCGGGGTGGAAGACAGCAAACCAGAGAGAGAGAGAGAAGGGAAATTGCCAGGAAAATCCAGCTTTAGGTCATGTGGTGACCCGCTGATGTACATAGTAGCTGTCAGATCTTTTTTTAATGTTTTTTTTTCTGTTGACATTTTTATGATTTTTCCCCGTTATTATTTAAATTATATTTTATTTTATATACCTGTATAAAAATTAATAATACGTGTATTAAATGCATATATATATATATATATATGATATTCTGATTGTGTATCAGTTGTGGCATGACATTATGGCATGGAGATGTTGAATGCTTGATTCTGATTGGCTGTCAGACATTCTAAGATGATTATATTTCTGCCATCGAATGACTGAAGTAGTTCCAAGCTCGCATTATAGTTCCACATCACGTCACCACATTATTTCAGATAGACTTACACCCCGTCACCACAAAAAAATAAGGTTTTATCAGTCTACTGGGAAACAAAGTTGCTTCAGAGGACGAACTGGTATTTGAGAAAGTTTATTAAATAGATTAAAAGCTAGAGTTTTGTTTGAGACATTTAAGTAAGATCTCCTTGAGAACATTTACTCATCCTCACGTCTTTCCAAACCTGCATGACTACTGTACTTCTCCTTGAACACAGAAGAAGACATTTTAAAGAACGTTGGGGTCAAAGCAGCGTTGGACCCCATTATGGCATCCATCTTTTGCATTTCAGACCTCCAGACATCCATGCAGTTCTTCTACTTTTCCCTGTATTTTCTGTTTATCATTGTCTTTAGTTTTTTTGCCCTCATAGCTGCTAATACGGCCACACCACCACATGGCCTCCTCCAGGGTGCTTTGCATGGATTTTGTTGAATCAGCATGTAGAGTCATTATTTTCTTCAGGTTTATGGTTCTTTTGCTCTGTTATACAGTACGTACGCACACATGCATATAGAGAGAGCCTTTTATTTTCACCCTTTGTGTAACCCACAGGATTCATCAGCCCTTATTCCACAGGTTTTGTCCAACCATCATGATTGAAATTAAACGTGTGAACCTCAGCGTCTGAATTCAGTTCCCCGAACAAACGCTTTGAACTTCCATCTCCTGAGACACACTCCAGAAACACTCAGAGTTTCATACTCTCAACACTCGTACCTGTCAGCACCGCTGCAGCGGCTCTTTGTTTATTAAATCGTTTGGCTAATTCGATTGTTCTTTCAGCATGTACAGGTGCATCTCAATAAATTAGAATGTCGTGGAAAAGTTCATTTATTTCAGTAATTCAACTCAAATTGTGAAACTCG